ATTCTAATGCACAGTCAGCATTGAGAACCACTAAAGTATCACATGTTACAGTTTTACAGATCATTTAATTTTTTAACTTCTGTTCGGCTAATTTATAGTCTACCAGGATGCAGACTAACTTTATTAGGTAATTGAAAACAATTTAATATGGCATCTCTAACAAACCACCAAGAAAAGGCTCTGTGTAGATTCCATCACTGTTAAGCCCTAAAATCAGAGTGAAAGAAAATGCTGGGAAAGTACAGCTGGTGTTTCTGAACGAGCTAAAATATGAAATATTTCTGGGACTGTATCAACAAGCCTAATTTTTTCCCCTCGGGGTTATGATTGTGCGGAACAAGTCTTCACCGCGAAGCTTGCCAAAAAAGGTTATGATAAAATCATGGAATGTGAATGAAAAGAATTCCCAGTGTAACTTTAAAGGAGTCAGTCTCTAAATTTTAAAATGCAGGGATGGCCTATGCCTTGCATTTGTAATAGAAGTTTTGAGAACAAAATAATCCTGAGTGCCAGAAAGGTCCTCCTCCTATCGTGTGCTATCTGTAAGGCCAAGGAGCAAAGAAGATCGGGAGGGTGGCCAACAGGAAGAGATGAGGATACACCAGAGACCCTGCACCTCTTTGTTCTTTGTAAATCAACTTTGCATTCTATATGTGAGCAAAAATGTAACCAGTGACTAAACGCACAAATTCCAGGAAAGTCGACGTTCCTTTTGCTTGCAGCACTGTGGGCTCAGTGGGAAGAGCGTGGGCTGTGGAGTCCCTGCCGCTTGTTTTGTGACTTTAGCGGAGTTTCTTAGCTTCTCTGTGCCTGCCTCCTTGTCTGCCAAGTAGATGTCACCTGTTTTTCACATGACAGTGCTTAGGGGTGTGACAACGAGTAGAGGCATGATGCCTCACACCTAGAAGATGCCCAGTTAGGAGAGATGGCGTTCATTTCTCTAGCATGATTATGAGAATTGAATTCTCAAAACAAACATCCATCAAAAAATATTTTTCTTGTGTTTATTGCTATTTTTTTTTTTTTTTTTACTGGTGAATTATCCTAGTTTGGATTTCTTCTTAATAGTCACAAGGTAGATTTTTGTATTTGGAGAGTAGGCTTATTTGTGTCTTTGTGCCTTTATCCTTGCTCTTCCCTGCATCCGGACGCTCCCGCCTGCCATTTGCCTTCTCCTTTCGCTCAGGCGTCTGCTCAGGTGCCATGTCCTCACCCACATCGCCAGTTCTGCTTCGGAGCATTTACCACTGGCGGGCATTATGCTGTGTGTCTCTTTGTTTATTGTCTACCTGATCTGGAATTGTAAATCCAGAAAGGAAGGGACTGTGATTCATTTCCTACTCTAAACCCTGTGCCTGGAATATTTGTTGCTTGAATGAGTGAAAGGACTGAGAGGACTTCACAGATTGGACTTCAGCTGGTACCATGAGGGGACTTGTCTCCCAGGACCAGCAAGTGGCCCCTGTGCTACCCAGGCAGATGCCACCAGAACTCGGAGACTTCAGGCCATAAAGACCAGAGTGAGGTGTGGAGAAAACAGGGATCGCGGACTCTTCACCACTTTACTCTGTGCTCGACTTACTACTTCTGTGGCATCAGGTCCAGTCAAATTGGGGTCCCTTGAAATAGCTGTCACCTCAGAATGATCCTGGCTGCCTGTGTACATGTGTTGTGAGAGAGAGAATTGGGGTGGATCGCAGGAAAGGACCCAGCAGCATCGACTTTGTAGCTGCCTTTCTGAGTTTTACCAGTTCATTTTATGCTTCCTGTTTTCCGTTAATAGGTGTGTGGCAGAGCTGTTATTTTTAGAGAGTTTGGAAGAGAGGGAAGGCTTGGTGGTGGACGTGTGGGACTCTTTAAAAATTCAGTAGATGAAATAAGAATCTGGCAATATAAATTTTCTCTTCTTTTTTCTCTTCCCATTTCAGTAGTTTTTCATTTGACTTTGGTTGTATTCAAATCTGTGTTTAAACAGAATACTCTTGGATGCATCTATTACATAGATCGTGACTGTACTTTCCCTTTTGACATTGGGACCCGGAGGTCTACAACCAGCCAACATGTGGTCACACCAGTTAAAGTGTCTAGGATTGTAATCATTGTAATTAATACTGGTGACCCTGTCAATATTTCAAGGACTAACCTGTTACGGAAAGATGAATAAAATGATGAAACCAGCTTATTGTCCCTTAATTACCTTTGTTGCAAGTGATACTGTCACTGTAGTCTTGGTATATCTGGGGCAGTTTTTATTTTTTTATTATTATTAAAGATTCCAGTTGTCAAGTGTTGTTGCCAGGGCAACTAGATTGAAAAGCTTCTTAATTATCTTAACGTATTATATGTAGATTTGTTAGACACCATAGGGAAAGGGTCAGGAGAGGCTTCTTTTCAAATGGATAAAATTAAAATTTCAGGGGCAGGGTGAGAAAAGCCTCTTAAATGATGGAAAATACATGGTGTAGCTATAGTTTTCTCCTCAGTTTCTCCGTGGAAGAAATGAAATAGAGATGATTAAATAAAAAATAGATGATTAAATGAAATCTACTGGAAGACTTTAGAAACAGGTTGAGAAAGAAGGTATCAGAAAAACAATTCCTGATGCTATGGTAACCATCGCTGAGTTTAAGTGACAGGCTGCTGACTGTTGGGGGAAGGGAAGGATGTGGGGTGAGTGAGGGTTCTGGATCCTCTTCTGAAAGCTGAACAGAGGGTTGAAAGGAGAATAAAGCTAAGAAGGTTAACAATTACGAAATAAAAAGAAAGAGAGAGATCTTAGAAATCTAAATTCTTTGAAAGCATTAATTTACAATTTGTCAAGTCAGTGTAACAGGCTTGACTTTTATGCCTGCTGGTCATGAAGCTAACAACACTGTCTTGAAAAGTTTAAGTACAAACTGTAATAAACACAAGGAGAAGTTATGGGTTTATAGGGGGAGATTTTAATAGATCCTTCTTGGAAATTAGATTAAAAATGTAAGATACAGCCCTGGCTGGTTTGGCTCAGCGGTTAGAGCATTGGCCTGCGGTCTGGAGAGACCCGGGTTCGGTTCCCGCTACGGGCATGTACTTCGGTTGCAGTTTGTCCCCGGCCCTGGTTGGTCGTGCCGGTGGCAGCCACTCGATGTGTCCCTTTCACGTCGATGTTTCTCTCTCTCTCTCCCCCTCCCTCCCTCCCACTCTATCTGTACAAAAATTGGAAAAATGTCCTCGGGTGAGGATAAAAAAAAAAAAAAATGTAAGATACAGGGGATCTGAATGTCATAAAAGCTGGATTTGATAGATTTGTACATTCGCATTCAATAAACAGAGAACCCGTTCTTTTCAAATATCTATGTATTTTAAAGTTGGCCATAGGGCCATGCATGCCCAAAACCCGAAAACATTAAAAAAGAAAAAAGAAAGAAAAAAAAAAACTCAAAAAAGTCACAGAAGTAGAAAATTGTATAGCCTACATTCCCTGGCAACAAGACAGTAAAACTATAAATTAAAAATCAAAAGGAAAGCAAAAATAATCTACCAATGCAGAAATTCAGCAGCATTCTTCTAGAAAATCTTTATTAAAGAGGAAACCAAAGTTGAATCATAGATTATTTAGAAATGAGTTACACTGAGAGTAATGCATATTAAAAATTAGAATGTAACCAAAGCAGTATTTGATTACAGTATTGAAGTCATAATTAAATTGTTAGCATTTCTAAGAAAATAAAACAGAAACAAACTAAGCATTAATTTTAAAACACTAGAGAAAATCAGTGAAATAGTTTAGAAACACAAACAAGGAAGAAACTCTGAAACTTAGAACTATCGATGAACATATAAGCTACAAAAAAAGAAAACTTGGCCAATGAAGCCTAAAATGAATGTGAAATTCTAGATGCCCTTGGTTTTGGAAATAGACCTACTTTCGTAATATACAGCACAAAGTGAACTGAAAATGAGGAGGCCTGGATTCTTGCTTTAGCTCTACCGCTGACCTTCAGCATATCACTGAACTTATGGGCTTCAGGTTCTTGATCTACAAAGTAGACTGAAATTTTTCATTGAGAAGACTGTAAACTTGGTCTAACCCTGCTTCGTGATTCTGTGTGGGTTGTACATTAGGAAAGAGAGCTTATGATAAGACACCCCAATACAACGCGGCATCATTTTCATCCAACACTTCTGGACTCCTTCCTCTCCACCTCGTGGGGCCGCAGTGATGTGCTGTTGGTTTATTTTGATCTTTGTGTAGGTTTCTCGAAAGTTTAAACGAAGAAGCTGAGGTATAGACTGAGGTCTCCAGAAGCTAGGGCTTTGCTTGGTTGATTTTCATTTCCAGAATTGAGGTTCAGCACTAGATCAGTACATCCTGCTAGAGAAAAGAGAATGAGGTACATTAGATGGATCTCTGCTAGAGAACAGAAACATTCAGGGAAATTACATGGGAGCCTGGCTCATCGTCCCCTTACTGAGATTCCGCATCATAGAATCATAGACTCTTAACTAAGTTCATCTCCTCCACGTTCAGAGCCTGGAGGTTGAGCTCGCCCATGCTGACTGTTATGTACCGTGTCTCCAGACCCTGATGTAGCCGTGATCTATTTGTGGGTCTACTCTGGTATTGCAGCAGGCACTATTTTTCAAAGAACAGCCCTTAAAACTCCTTTTAAATGCAAAGATCTCTCGTGTGGCCAGTGATTGAGTTCCCTTTCCAGATCCTCCAGGTCCCAGGCATCTTCTCCTGGCCTTTCTTCATCTTGGTTAGCACGTTGGCCGTGGTTGCTCAGCGCAAGGGAGGGGGAGAATGGAGACGCAGGCAACTTCGGCCTCACATCCTGGTGTCGCGAGCAGATCTCGGAGAGTTTCGTGGTTGGCTACGCCGAGGGCGAGGGTTTTCAGCAGGTCTCTTCCTCTCCCGTCCTCTTGGCTTAGTAGAGGGATCGTGAGTTCTGCCTGTGCTTCCGAGGAAGGTGCCCCGCGGTGCCGGGCATGTGCTAAATGTTTTCTCTCCCGTTTAGAAGAGAAGCCAGATTGCTCCAAGGCCCGCTGCGAAGTCCAGTTCTCCCCGCGCTGTCCTGAAGATTCCGTTCTGATCGAGGGCTACGCGCCCCCCGGGAAGTGCTGCCCCTTGCCCAGCCGCTGCGTGTGTGACCCTGCGGGCTGCTTGCGCAAAGTCTGCCAGCCGGGATACCTGAACATACTAGTGTCAAAGGCCTCAGGGAAGCCGGGAGAGTGTTGTGACCTCTATGAGTGCAAACCAGGTATGCACGCGCCTCATCCCGGCAGCTGGCTCCGTGGCATCAGCGGGTGGCAGGCCCCCCGCGGCAAGCCCGGGCTCTCCTTGCACCCGAAGGTGGGCATTCTCATCGGTACCCCGCGAGCCTGCCCCTGTGGGCCAAAGGAGCCTGGCTTCTGGCCTTCTGGTCAGAGAACCAGAGAAACAGTTCACTGGTGCAGAAGTGTCTCCAGAGAGGGACCAGGTCCTTTTCTCTTCTTTTTTTCCCTTCAAAGTGTGCTTGATGGGAGAGGTGGGGTTGAAATGTATGGTACCTGCTGCTTCATTGCCCCAGAAAAGGTCCCAGCCTTCATCTGCAGATTTATCTGTTGCTTTAAATGACTACATTTAAAACCACCATCATACACAAAACAGAAAGTTATTTTTAGATACAGCTAGGCATCAAAACAAAATGCTCAGCCCCAGACTTTCCTCTTGCCCGGTCCCCACCGCTGGCTTTGGTAGCACCTGCTAAGTCATCTTTGTCTATTTACTCACCTTCTTTGCTACATGTGGTTTCGCTGTCGTTTTTCAGCTGTTTCTTGCTTTAAATTATTTCTAACATCCTTGTTCTTCTGGCAGTATATCTAGTATGGTCTGTGAATAGGTCTAGCGATTTCCTCTTTACAAGTTTCTAACCATTGGTCAGATTTCTTCTAACTGCTAGATTAATGCTTCAAGCAGAACAATCTCTTGTCCATCTCTTGCACTATTTTATTAGAAACACTTCTGGCTGACGATCCCTGTCCACCCACATGACCACCATTGACTGGTTTAACGCTCTCTCTGTCTCTCAGTGTGTCTTCACCTTAACTCTTGTCCCCTGCTTCCCTTGCACAGAAGATCAGGGACATACTACCGTTCTCTAACGTTGAGTAAAATAAAAATGCCACTGTTAGGACAGGTTCTGGGAAGCAAGGACGCTGCAAAAATTTGTCCAGAGCCAGTGTTTCATTTGGGGACTCAAAATGCCAGTAAATGTCACAGTAAACGGTGCCTCTGTCTGCCCTTCCAGTGTTCAGCGTGGACTGCAGCACTGTGGAGTGCCCCTCCGTCCAGCAGGCCGTGTGCCCCCTGGATAGCTACGAAACTCAAGTCAGACTCACAGCGGATGGTTGCTGCACTCTGCCAACAAGGTCGGTTTGTCCTCAGTTAATGAGCTTCTTCCTCTGTCTTGTGTTAGCATCCTGGAAGGCACAGTTCCAAGCATGCACTTTGTTTTCCCCAGCAATTAGGGAAATCCAGTCTTCTGTTTCGTGGAGAAATCCCTGAACTGTTATTACGACTTGGTGTTTACATGTATGGTTCCTTGGATCCAAGCCAGGTGTTATCAGGTGAAGTCTCTAATCCTTACAGATCCTTCATGTTGGGGTGCTGTGCACTTTTGCAGGCTGGCAACTATCCCGGCAAACATGCCCCTCAGTATGTAGCCAGGGAGGCAGCGAGGTGTCCATCCATAGTGGGCGTGTCACTTGATCCTCTGCACTGAGTCTTACAGGAGCTTTACCAGCGTGTCCAACAGGACGAAACCCTGCATGCGTCGTGGACTTGCTCCCCAAGGATTCTTCACATTTGCAGTCACACATCTGCCCAGACCTATTACTTGCAGAGGCAAAAAGGAGTCTAAGTTTTTGCAATGCTTTCTGGAGTTACACACGGATCTCTCTTTGGCTTGATGGGAGCAAAAGTTGCTGGCAGTCTAGTCATAGCAGCAGGGCATCCACTTAGCCTACAGCACCAGGCTCGTTCCCGAACGGGAGGGGCTGCAGGTCCTGTCCTTGAGAGGCTTCCCAGCCCCACCATAGAGCTGGCCCTCGTGCTAGGCTCTTGGGAAGACCCTGCTTGGAAACGTGGGGCTCACATCCTGCTTCTCCTTCTAAGATGCTCGCTCTCCTTCTTCCTTGCCATGCCTCTCCTGCATCTTCCCAGGCCACTAAGACATCATTTGACTAAGTCATGTCATCTCTTTCAACTTGTGCTCTATGTTTAATATCCAGAGTTAAAACAGGACCTGATTTCACTCTGTTTCCCTCGGTCCCAGTGCCGGGCACTTAGCATCTATGTTGTGTGAGTGGTTGTGATTATATAGATGGGAGTGTCGGTGGTCCTTAGTGAAGGTAAGTATCAGTTATTTGTCCATAGTTGAAGTAGACTTATAGAGAGTGTTCTGGTAATTACTTTCCTTCTTTCTTGTCTTAAAATACATTTGTTCTTTACCATCTTCTAACCTTTGCCCTGCCAGAAACCCTAAAATTCTCTCATACATATTGTACATGACTTGCCCTATTTTTTATACTGTTTCATAACACAGATACAAAGACTTCTGTGAAGATAACATGGTAACAGTGGCACTTCACCTTCCTGTGATATTACAGGCTGAGAATTTACATGCAGATGCTTGGAAAGGGGTGAATTATTGCACAAACATAGGTATTACTAATCAGTAAAGGAAGAAAACGGAGCATTGCTAAAAGTAACATGTCCCTTTAAGGTTTTATGAAAAGGACAGTGGCACATTGTATTAGAGAACTTCATTCATCAAAACTAAGCCAGTTGTTGATGAACAAGTCCTTTAGTGAGGAAAAGGGTAGGTTCTCAATGCACTATTATAAATGCAGCATAGTACCATCTGCAGGTAGGATGCACCCCAGGACCTCGAAATGGGTAGAAGCTACAGGAAGACATATGTAATCTCAGTTGAAAAAGAAACTTTTTCTCACAACTGATGATGTCCTGTAATGAATTGGGCTGCTTCCTGAGGTAGGCTGAGCTCCGTGGAGCTGGAGAGGTGTCTGCCTGGATGGCCACCTGCCAGGAACGCTCAGAAGAAAGATCATGTTGGGAAGGAGGTTCAACTAGCTGCCTTCCGTTTTCTCTCCATGCTTCTGTGAGCCTTGTAAACATAAACCTCAGGGTGGTCATGACTGTAGTGACATGGTTTGGCTTTGCATTCAGAACTAAGGGATTGTTAAACGTGCCTCCAGTGAAGAAAGGGGAACCATGGAGAAGGAAGTCATTCAGAATCCACTGTAAATTATTTGCAGGGAAGGATAAGTTCTCACAGCTCTTTGGTTTCCTGTATTTTAGATAGTCGGTGACCCCTGCTCACCCCCTGCCCCTCCTGCACACGAATCCTTGTTCCACCTGACAAGGCCCCTCCCCAGGCTCCCCCACACTCTGCGCCTGGGATTCGTGACCAGCTGATCCTCCTTCAGGACTGCATCGCCTTCTCTGCGAATAACTTTTCAGTCTGACTGTTTCCAGTCTTCAGCCCCTATGACTTAGGTGTTCCTCTTCTGCTCCCTTTTAATTTAATTCCCGGGCATCTCTATCCTAGCACTTTGAACCTTACATAAAATCACTGATTTTTTGGTAGCGTTTCCCCGCTCTGTGTGATTCTCCAAGGAAGAGAATATTTTATAACCTCTAGTGCCTAGAATAGGATTTGATATAATAAGTTGACCTGCACTTATTGACGGACGAATGAATGAACGCACGAACAAATGCGCCCACTCTTAGCCATAATGACCTACATGTTGAAGAAGAAGAAAATTATCCTCCTCCATGGTCCTACTTTAAAACCCTTGCAGTTTTCCCAGCCCCCAGGGCCCAGTTCCCGGTGCCTTATAAAACCCTCCATTGCAATCACCAAGCTCACCTTTCAGAGCACAGGATGCCTTTATCTCTCCTTTCCACCTTTTCTAACATTGTTCGTCCTGCAGGTCTCAATTCAATCCCACTTTGTCCACGGAGGTCTTCTTGCTTCAGCCAGCTCCTGCCCCACCCCCTAGGAGCTCCCAAAATAGACCTTTCCAAGTTACCAGTTAACCTTATACTTCCTTGCATTGTTCTCTGTGTTACATGCATTGAGTCTCGTCTCACCAACAGAAGGATGTGTTTAGAGGTCAGGAATTGTCTTCTTTATTTTTCTCTGTGTATGCAATAAACACTGAATGAACTGGTAAGTGCAGAATATGTTCAGACCGTAGCTTTGCCTAGCTTAGCATATGACATAGGTTCCCGCTTACTAAGGAGGACAGTGAACAAGCCATACTTGGACACGAGAGTAACAACCTAAACAGTCGTGTGTAAATGGAAGTAAAAAGAAGAGAGCCCAGGATGTAGTAATAGTGGTAGTATTTTAAGAGAAAAAAATGACATGACTTTTTTTCCTATGTGTGAACCATTGTTCAAGGTTTGTTCTTTTCAGCATGAGGTTTAGGGATAAAGAAGATCATTGTAGAACATGTAAAATCCTATTATGATTATTTGTCCTTTATGGGCGTAATTAGAAAGAACATTGCTGAGAGCTCAGAGTCATCTTAGATCAAAACCGATTGTGTGGAGAATTCAGGGTGGGGAGGCCCTGTACAGCTAGGACAGAGTAAGGTGAAATATCTGGAAATCTGGCCACAGAGATTCACCTCGGGGAGGGGGGGACCAGCCACCCCTTTTTTGTAAGGTTTTATTATGCTTTCTGTAGACTACAGAAGGAATCTGTGGGCCTTCCCTCGTCTTAACGAATACACTTCTCCCTCCTCCGTTCCCATGCGAATGGAATTCCATTCCCGGTTAGACCCGCTCACCCCTCAAGCCTCTCGCTGCTGTTTCGGGCGAGTCCTTGCTCAGGTGGTGAATGTTCTCCGGAGTTGTCTGTTTTTAGTTCATTCATTCACTCATCAAACATGAATTGAGCTCTTACACGTGACAGGTGCTGCCCTTGAAGTGTTCCCCTCAGGCACGGGGTCTCTCCCATTTCCAGCCTGACAGGCGCCGGTCCCCCACCTCCACTGCAGGGGACCCCCGCGCTCCTTGCGGCACCTCTGCTCTTCCTCAGTGGCCCGTCTGCATTTTCCTCTTTTGCTGTGTTTTATGTTGTTTAGACATTATTCTTATGTGTAGTATAATTAACCTTTAACCTTTTATTTTTTTTAATCCTCACCTGAAGATATTTTTCTATTTATCCTCAGATAGAGTTGGGGGGCAGGGGTGAAACATCGATGTGAGAGGGACACATTGGTTGCCTCCTGCACAACCCCGACCAGGGCCGGGGACGAACCACAACCAAGGTACGTGCCCTTGACCGGAATCGAACCCAAGACCCATTGGTCAACGGGCCAATGCTCTAACCACTTAGCACACTGGCCAGGGCAACTTTTAACCATTTTCAGATGTTTTTTTTTATTGATATTTTTTTAGGAAGAGGGAGAGAGAGATAGAAACATCAAATGGCTGTCTCCTGCACACCCTCTACTGGGGATCGAGCCATAACCCGGGCATGTGCCCTGACCAGGACTCGAACCCAGACCTCTTGAGGCATGGGACAACACTCAGCCTCTGAGCCGCACCAGCTGGACTTTTGTTCCTGCTTCCCTTGGCTTGGGGTAGGTTTCCAGGCGCACGGCCAGTTCTTTTCACCCTCCTCTTCTCGGCGCTGGGCGCTGAGGGGCTCCAGGGCAGCTCCCCGCAGCTCTCGGGAGTGAGGGGGGCGTGGTTCTGGGCCCGAGCACTGCATGACGACAAAACGGGGGAACGGGCCTGTCCGCGGGGCTCCTGACACTTGCTGGTCTTTGGGAGACCTTTTGTGCCCTGTGCATACAAACACCGCCATGCAGAGGGAACTCCATTCCAGACGGTGACGGTGGCCACCTTGATCCAAGCGACGTGTTTGCAGAGAAGGAAAAATTTAAAAGTTTTTCAGTAACACATAGGTAGCGGCACCGATGACAGCTTAAGTGTGTAATGTGTCCTGCTGTTGACAAAACATTCACTTTTGTTACTCTCATTTTATTATCTGGCTCCATGAGGAATGTGCGAATCTGAAAACAGAATGAGAAATAAGCGACCTGTGCAGAATCATAACTGTTGTCTGGTACGAGGGGCAGAGCAGGTCCAAGTCGAGAACCAGGTCCTTTGATTCGAAGCCCTGTGCTCTCCACTGCAGTGTGTTGTTAATATGTTTTGTTGTTGTTTTTTTATCCTCACCCAAGGACTTTTTTTTTTTCTTTGCATTTATCTTGATATAGAGCAGGAGGGAGAGAGGGAAGAAGAAAGAAAGAGAAACATCGATGTGAGAGACACATTGAGTGGTTGCCACTCATACGACCCCAGCCAGGGCCAGGGACAAACTACAACC